AGATTCATTAGTTTTGTCACTAAGCTTTTTCAAAAATTTCAGCAAAAGATGCTAAAGTTATTTAGTTCATTTGTAAAAACTTCAGCACTGTATAAGCTGAAGTTTTTGAAAAAGTTTTCTAACATACTAGATAAATAATCACCTTATTTTTTCATAATGTATTATTACTATAAAATAATCAGATTGTCAATAGTATCTAAATCATAAATTTTGGAAATAATAAACATGAAAAAAACAGAATTATCATGAAAAGAATCACTAAGTGTGACCTTAAACTTCCCGTACGTGAAAATATTCACAAATTATTGTCTACTAACTTACGTAACATCCCATGAACTCAAGTTTCATAGCAGCACCAACAGAAGAAGAAGAAGAAGAAGAAGAAGAAGAAGAAGACCAAATAGCGCGCCCCGTACAATTTTAACTTACTAGCCTCCCATCGAGCCACCATGCAAAGAATTACGTTGTTTACTAAACATGTTTCAATTTTCGTTATGTTGATTCTAACATGTGTATTTTTAATTTGTCCTCAAATGTGCGTGTTGACTGCTAGTAGCTTATAAATGGCTGTCATGTTATTTTTTGTTGTGTGTTTCTTGCATCAACTTGAACAATCACTTGTGTATTTCAAAATTTGTCAGCCTATTTTCAGTGTTGGTCATGGCCAAAATAAAACTTATTTTGAGAAGATATATTATCTGAATATGTAACTTTTCTGGATTTCCCTTTCTATATATGATAAAGAAAAATAAAATCAGCTCTTGGGGAACAAAGAACATAATATGTTCAGAGGCGGACCCAGGATTTGAGCACGACGGGGGCACCACTGTACGCTAATCACTAGCGATAAAATTCAGGGTGCAACTCTTTGAAAACTTAATGATTATGATGACTTATCATCTAAGTATAACCAAAAAAAAGTTTTAAAGAAAAAGAAAACACCAAAGAAAATTTACTGTACCGCTACGGTCTCCAGTAAATTTATGAACCAACAAAGACCCACAAGTTTTACACTTAGCCTTATTTTGTTCTCTTAGTTAAGTAAAAAAGTGCCAAACAAGAGATGTTTCGGGCCGTTTAGAAGGTTGTCTATTAAAAGTAGGGGTTACTACAGGAGGGTCAGGCGGGGCATCATTTGGGTTATTAACAGGACTAGTAGGTGTATCATCTAAATCCGGTTGCTTTTCATCTAAATCATCATTTTTCTCATCATTTTCAAAGATAGTTTCATTAGGATAAAGAGCATTCATAACTTCTTCATTTAATTGTTGACCTGGTGCAACATCATGGCAAAATTAACTATCGGAAAATTAAAAACAAGGGTTATCACTATCAAAAATAATAGGTGAAGGAGGACGGGTAACAGGTCTGGATCGGGGAGCCGGGGGAAGAGTAGTAGCTTGGCTACTAGATTCACCAATTTTAGATTTTCCCTTACCCTTACCACCAAAAAAAT